TTCTTGTGTGCATGTGTTCATTATTAAACGTAGTATTATTTACTATTATTATGTTCCCTTTAAATATGAAAACACAACGTGTGATATAGTTGAATAGCCATTTTCACTTTCCCTGAAATCTAGCCCTAGCATCTGTATCCAGCAGAGTATTCAGATACTCCCACTGCAGTAGAGAGATTCAAAACACCAACAAAGAGATAAAAAAGTCTGGCCTAAAAAATTTCACAGCCATCCTCATACATGCATGCATAGGAAAACAGTCAACCTTAGATAAGACAGCACTGTACTGTAAAAACCCTTGTGTCTGCAGAATGTTGTCATCCGCTCTGATGTGAGATTTGAAACCCAAGAAACTTTATTCTCCGAGAGAGTGTAAATCTCATTAATGATAAATGAAATCCTGAGAACTGCTTCACTGTGGGATTCTCGGTTTCAGTTTCACTTTAGAGTGCTTTATTGCAGTGTTTCCCAACCCTCTTGCTCTTTTGTACCTACACATCTATCTATCTATCTATCTATCTATCTATCTATCTATCTATCTATCTATCTATCTATCTATCTATCTATCTGTCTGTCTGTCTGTCTGTCTGTCTGTCTGTCTGTCTGTCTGTCTGTCTGTCTGTCTGTCTGTCTGTCTGTCTGTCTGTCTATCTGTCTATCTATCTATCTATCTATCTATCTGTCTGTCGGTGTATGTCTGTTTATATATATTTGTATGTTTGTCTTTCCAAATATTTGTGTCTCTGTCTGCTATTTTTTGTCTGTGTTGTGTCTGTCTGTCTGTCTGTCTTTCTGTCTGTCTGTCTGTCTGTCTGTCTGTCTGTCTGTCTGTCTTTCTGTCTGTCTATAAATTTGTCTTTCTCTATACCTGTTTATATATTTGTCTGCCTGCATGTCTGTCCGTCTTTCTATATATTTGCCTATGTATGTATGTCTATATATTTTTGTCTGTCTCTGTCTATATATTTTTGTCTGAGTGTCTGTCTATATATTTTTCTCTCTGTATGTCTATTTATTTGTCTGTATGTCTATCTATATATTTGTCTGTCTATATACAGACAATGTGTGTGTGTGTATTTATGTGTTTGTATGTGTGTCTCTATATATTTGTCTTGTCTGTCTATGCATTTGTCTGTTTGTCTGTCTGTCTGTCTGTCTGTCTGTCTGTTTTTATATTTGTTTGTCTGTCTGTATATATTTGTCTGTCTGGCTATTTATATATTTGTCTGTATGTCTGTCTGTGTATTTATCTTTTTGTCTGTCTATATTTTTGTCTATTTGGGTGTCTATTTGTCTGTCTGTCTGTCTATTTGTCTATATTACTGTCTGTCTATATGTTTTTCTGTCTATATATTTGTCTGTCTGTATATTTGTCTGTCTTTCTGTCTGTCTATATATTTGTCTGTTCGTCTGTCTGTCTGTATATTTGTCTGTTTGTCTATCTACACTGTATAATTGTCTGTTTGTCTGTGTATATTTGTCTGTTTGTTTGTCTATATGTCTGTATATTTGTCTGTCTATATATTTGTCTGTCTGTATATTTGTTTGTCTATATATTTGTCTGTTTGGGTGTCTATTTGTCTGTCTGTCTATATGTCTGTCTGTCTGTATATTTGTCTGTCAGTCTGTCTATATATTTGTCTGTCTGTCTGTCTGTCTGTAAATTTGTCTGTTTGTCTATCTACACGGTAAAATTTGTTTGTTTGTCTGTCTATATATGTGTCCGTTTGTCTGTCTGTCTGTATATTTGTCTGTATGTGTTTGTCTTTTTGTCCATCCGTCCATAAAAAGATAAAAAGACACAAAAGCAAGCAGATTATCTCTTTTTTACATAGTGTGCTGGCAGGTAATCAAGTGAAGACATGTTTCTTTTGTAAATTTGAACTAATTAATTTCTCCCTATTATTCTTTATGCACACAAATAGAAGGCGACTGCTGATTCTGGTCTGTCAGTATGAAACAGATTGAGCAGAAATTAGAGAGGTGCATCTGGGACAGGAGATGCAGCGTGAGAGAAGCATTTTAAACAGCAAAGCAAAGAGAATAACAGGAGGAAGAGATACGTTTAACTGTAGCCTCCTATGCTTGTACTTGTGTTCAGTTCTCGATTACTGTAGTTAGTCTATGTCATTTCATACCAACTAGACCTACAGCAGATGCTATTTTGTAATAACAGATAAACCTTTAAAGCAGGTCACTTTTATTCTTATTTTAACATTTTGTTTTGGTATATTTTATAGCATTATGTATTTAGTATATGTGTTTATACTAAATTTAAAATGCATCTTTCAACACTGACAGTGCAATAAAACAAAGATTGTTAGTTTATTTTCTACTTTATATGTGGTTTAACTTTGCAACTCATTTGTGTCATTTGAAATGTGATCTCAGTTGTTTTTTTTTTATTTGTTTTCTTTCAGGTTATTTAAAAAGATTTGAATAAAAACAGCTCTCAGATGAGAGGACATAAAAGCATAAGGTGTAACAATTTGTTATATCTGATGGCTTTTCGGGTCTCATATGATATACTGAAGCACAGTGTCTGCCGGTGAGTCTCAGCGGATGCAGTAAGTCATCTGGGTATTGTTTGCCTGCTGTTTCATGAATAATGCATATTCGTACACTCTTTGGACGTTTTGCTTTTTCACCCTATAATACTGTATAGAAAAATCCATATTTGATTTTGGGAAATACCCCAAAACTGTGATTAGTTGTATTTTGTCTCTTATGTAACTGACCTTATTTACATCTTTTGTTTAGAAATCTGATATATTGCAATATATGCAAATTGCATAAATGACATACAAGTCCAATTATGTTTATAAATGGCAAAAATGGCCGCTTTAATTGTTAGCAATTGGATTTACAAATATGTGCATATATGTTCAAATATATTAGCTATTTGAGCAATATTACACGAGTAGCAGTGCGATATGGCTGTATATCAGCACTGGTTGGAGGAGTGCATTGTGTGTCCCACCAGGGATGATATACAGCTACATCGCACTGCTACGAGTGTGATACTGCGTTTATACAACAGTTCGACGGCATATTTGTGTGTAGGGAAAAGAAAATCAAACACAGAGACTCTAAAAACCCTTTTGTTAGAGGAACTACTTTCTTCTGCAGTTCCCTCACATTTGCAGCCGACGTCAGAACAGCAGAAACTGTTGCTACTTCACCAATGTCACTTTACAGCTAGCATTTGAGTGATTCTCTAGCGTAATGTCTAAAGTGATGACAAAAGAGGTGATTTTGCTGACATTTTAAGATTATTTGATTAAACACTTCCAGAGTACTGTTGTGTTTGTAAAAACGCTAAATACATGCGCGCATTTCTTCATTCTCTCTTTTTACAGATCTAGTAGTCTGCAGTAATGAAAACAGGAGACTCATTAGAAACAAACAGATGGACAACTAAAAAGTCTCAGTGAGTCCCATCTCACAATCAACACGCTACAGTTCTATGTTATAAATACAGCACTACAACATACAAAACAGAGAGATCGACTAGAATGTCACTTACCTGTTTAATAATGATTTGATCAGCTGTAGTTAAAATTACACTGTTTTTCTCCTCTAAGCACTTATTATGCAGTCTCTGTCGCCATCTTGCTGATGGACGACGTCAAGTGTTCATGCTCTGCTTAGTGACAGGCTAATGGCTGCCGATGTACTGTCTCTCAGAAATTACACAAATTTACAATTGACACTGTCCTTATAAATAAACTGCATAAATGCAAACTAAACAACTACATTCTCACCTAAAAAAGCCTCAGAAGTACATTATGTCGTCCAACAGCTGGAATATTTGTCAAACTATAGAGTGTCCTCTGCTTGTTGCTGTATTTGGGCAGAGTAATACACAAGGAGACTGAACGAGTGCTGTTATTTACAGAATATCGCTCGGCTATCAGCTTCAAAAACCAGACAGAACTGTTGTATAAAATGTTAAATATGTGTTCATATACAGTGTAGTAGTCAGCATTTAAAGTGGATCATTGTTCTAAAGCTATTGAACAACATCTATTTCTGTCTTGGAATAATTCTAAATATTTTTTGGATCACCTTAAATTTTGTCTATATATAGTACACACATATATCGTAATACAGTATATATAGTAACACTTTAGTTTAAGAAATACCATTTAGTGACTGATTTACACCATTTACTACTAGCTTATTACTTGCCAATTATTAAAATATGAATTGTTTATTAACAATTATAAAGCAAATAACTATATTTATTGAGCTAAAAGTCTTAGTTTGTTAAGTTTTTATTAGTGCGAAATTTATATTAAAATAAAATGTGAACATATATATATATATATATATATATATATATATATATATATATATATATATATATATATATATATATATATATAATTAAATTAACGTGTTTGAAATTCTAATGCTTGATACACAATATATAAAAATCATACTTTTTTTTTGCAATATTTCAAAATACATATTTCATAAATGACATTTTATATCGCATATGTAAAATTCAAATATGAACTTCTATGTCATATTTGTTGTTTGCATATTTCCATGTATCAGATTTCTAAATGATGCTTCAAGACCTGACCTGGCAGTACCAAATAAGATGGCCATCCAAAACATGGATCTCCAGGGTTGAAAGTCTGATTCTTTGATGTGCACTTTTGTGACTCTGTTTACGACCAGCAATCCACCTGGGAGGAAGGCGGTGCGTAATTTTCCGCTTTGTGATTCATATGAAAGCATCTTTGTGGTTTTGGATTGCGATGGCATGCACAATATTGCGTTGACCAGGCGCAGAGATGCCATGTCAGTAGTGTGTGTCACGTGAACAAGCTCTCTGTCTCGCGCCTCCGTCTGAACCTCCTCCCTCATCATCACAACCAGCGACGGCAGACCGAGTACGATCCGCATCAGCAATCATGCGGTCGCGCGGAGAACACGGTAAGGCAGATCTGCTTGCGCGTGTGAGTGTTTGTGTGTGTGTGTGTGTGTGTTTATGCGTGTCTACGGCTGACAGCAGAAGCGCGGTTGTATTTATGCTTTTAGACATCGTGTGCGTTGCTCATCTCGGTGGAGGCTGAAGGCGCGAGGCGATGCAATTGTTGCTCGGCGTTGTTGCGGATGAAGGTACCAGAAGCTCTTTGTCAGCAGCGCTGCTGAGCTCATCGACATCTCTCTGACCGCACATCATTTTCATTTAATCAGGCATTTGCGATAATGGGATTCGTGATTACTAATTCAGCGATTCCTGTTAAGACTCCACGAACGTTCGTTTTAGTGGGTTTGTATTCAAATATGTAGAAAAGTGAATTGTTATTGGAATATTACTGTCTTAAATTGGAAAAATATTTAAAACAGAAAATATTATAGCCTAACAAATTATAAATGTTGACTATTAAGTGACTTTTTCACTTTTCAGACTTTGTTTTCTTAGTATTAGACTAAATAAAATAGGCAAATGATGCTGTCTCATGTTATGTGATTCATTCACTAGCCGCTTTATGTCTATTTCTTAAGTGGCGTTTATAGCATATCCATGTGTGAGTCGCTTATGAAGTCCGTGTGTAATTGTTGGGAGGAGTAAAGCATGTTAAAATAAGTTACAACCATTAATAAACAGTTACATGCTTTTATTAAAGTTTTAAATTATTAAATAAGATTTTAAAAAGATAAATAAATGTGCAAAGTAGCCTAGTGTTCAGCAAATGAGTCTTATTCGGCAATCATCAATATGTATTTTGTATTCACTAAAAAGAATCGACTCAAAAGAGTCATACGTTGGGGAATCGAATAGCACTCTTCGCGCTTAATCCCATAGGTTCACAGAAAAGAACTGGTTCGAGAATCAGACTTCACTCGTAGCATGTTTTCACTAGTGATGGTGTTGCGTTGGTCAGTTGTAGAGGAAACATAATGGGGAGTTGTAGGATGCTGCTCCTTTCACATCGTCGGAACCTGAAGAAATAACATTCGAGCGTAATGTTTGAGAGCGTGCGTGCGTTTGACAGACTTGTGTGTTTTTTTCCAATCCACAGCCCTTCCTCGCGCCTCCCTCTCTGAACGAGGTCCTTAAATGACCCACGACCACTAAGAAGCTCGTGCTTTCCCTGTCCGGATCATGGCATGCGCCCCATCCCGGACTTCCACACGCGCGGCGCCGAGGCTCGAGAGCAGTGAACATGGGGATCAGGTCCAGAAATGCCGCTAACAGCGCCGAGGACTCGCGCGAGCGTAAAAGCGCGCTGGCCGGAGACCTGGAGCAGTGCGCGGGGCAGGAACGGGACGGCGCGCTGCTGCTCGTCGGCTCGGGGAGGGAAGTGGACTTCAAAAGGGGCTCGCAGAACATCGGGCTGCTCGCCAAGACGCCCCTGGGATACACGCGCCCCGTGAAGAGGAATAATATCAGGAAGCGACGGATCCAGAACCTCATTTACGACGCGCTCGAGAGACCACGAGGATGGGCGCTGCTTTACCACGCGTTTGTGTAAGTGGACCAGATGCATTTCACACCCAAGCGCGCCCACACACAGAGGGAACAGCCCCTTTAATTATAAATTACAACAATTCAGTTCAATCCAATTTGTTTGCGCGGCCCTTTTCATTGTTCCATGGCAGCAACCTGACAGAGAATGTAATCCATAAGGGCAGGAGGAACTGGATAAGATTAATTGTAAAAGATAAATGAAGTGGAGTGAGATTAGAAGTAATGAAATGCAGATACATGCAAATCTTGGTATCTGTTGTGCACAAAGATGTTTACTCTAGGGGAGCAAACTGTAAACATTTAAGAGAAACCTTCAGCAATCTGAATAGTGAGCTTATTCTTTGTTATGATTATTGTGCCTATGATTATTCATATTTACAGTGATGTATTGTGATATAACTTGATTTATTAAAGGGAATGTTCACCCTGAAGCAAGCATTTGCTGTTAATTTTCTCATTCAGTACCATCCAAGATGTAGGTGTCATTGACAGGCCAAAAACAACATGTATTCATTCAAAATTAAAGCCCATGGCTCCTAGAATTGAAGTCTGTGGAAGCAAAACAATCAGCCAGTGCAAGAAACTGAACATGATGTATAACCTTTAATTCACAGCCTCTTTAACTGGTATTAAGCATTCACTTTGTTTCACTTCATTATACCCCAGAAGCAACAAAATAAATGAGTTTTACCTGTGTATATGTACAAGTGCTAGTCTGACCTGCATCTTATCATAAATCACAAACGAAGCACCACAGTTTCAGCAAAAGAAAAAAAAATCTTTTATATCCTACTGAAGAAAAAGCATCTTGGATGGCCTGAGGATGAGTAAATTAGCAGGGAATTTTCTATTTCGGGTGAACTATTCCTTTTAATTAGCAGCAAAGCTGTTGTTTTGTGCTTTTGCTGTGAGCACTTTGAATTGTATAATGTGTGCCCATTTGCGCTGGAGCTCTCCATGGTTCTGAAACAGAGCACAACCTCCAGCTGCTAGTGACCAGAAATCAAAGCACTTATAGCTGTCGAGCTGCCGTCTGTTCTAGTATAACAGCAGCGTACGCTCACAGAAGAGCCTGAGATACTGTCTGTGATCATACCACTATGAGATAAGGACTATGTGCTGCTGTGACACTGAAGTAAAGAGCTCCAGCCTTAACGAAGTGCACTGGAGCTTTCCGTGGTGCTGATATCAGTGTTGGGTGTAGCGATTATACAGCGGTAACAATGCATAAGTGACCCTTGTCTTTGAGAGACACGGATACATGTTAATGCTGGTTAAGTGGGAATTGTTCTTTGTCAGGCATTAGAGTGCAGATGAACAACTTCCCTGAAGCCCCAAGCCGACCTCTATAGCTCTCACACACACAGACACACACCCTTACTTGTATATGTGATTTACGAGGACTTTCCATAAGCGTAATGCAGTGTTGAGCAAGCTTCTTGAAAAATGTAGTGAGCTAAGTTATTAGTAGGGCTAAACAGAGTCGGCGGACATTTTTAGCTATTTCTGCAGGTAATTTTGTAAGAGATCTGCGGATTCATGCAGAATTATTTTGGGAGTATCTTAACTAGAAAAAAGAATTAATACCTTTTTAACTTTTATTTATTGTTTACAATGCAAATACTTCTATATCCACTTATTTGGTAAACAAAGCAAATCTATTATGTAATATACCTGCTAAAATAATATATTACTTTACAAACAGTTTTTAAAAAATCAAATGAACACTTTCATATTTGTCAATAATATTACTAAAATGACTGTAAAAACTGAATAAATTTACACACATTTACACAAGTAAATAGACTATAATGGGCTAAAAATCTGTGCAAATCTGCGTATTTGTGCGCACACAGATTCTGTGTGGGCTTAGCTATACTCTACTTAAAATGTAGCTTAACTACGCTAAATTTTACCCTTTGGGAAATGTTGCAAGCTGAGCTAAAAGCTACTTGGCAAAAGTACCTTAAGCTACATGTAAGCTATTTTTGCCATTTTAATTTCCAATCGAATCAACTTAAATTCAAATCAATCATATCTTCAATGATAAAAAAACTGTCAATGAAACATACAAGGCATACTTGCTCAGTTCAATTATTTACTATAAATAATATACTGTACTAAACAGAAACAAATTACATTTACATTTAGTCATTTAGCAGACGCTTTTATCCAAAGCGACTTACAAATGAGGACAAGGAAGCAATTTACACAACTATAAGACGACAATGAATTAGTGCTATAGGCAAGTTTCAGGTCTGTAAAGTCTAACAAGGAAAGTATTAGTAAATTTCTTTTTTTTTTTTTTTTTTGGGTACAGTTAGTGGTATATCCAGAGAGGCAATGGCAGATTAGGAAGTGAAGTGGAGACTAAATAGTTGAGTTTTTAATCGTTTCTTGAAAACAGCGAGTGACTCTGCCGTTTTGATGCAGTTAGGGAGTTCATTCCACCAACTGGGCAGATTCAACGCGAGCGTTCGGGAAAGTGATTTCTTCCCTCTTTGGGATGGAACCACGAGGCGACGTTCATTCACAGAACGCAAGTTTCTGGAGGGCACATAGATCTGCAGAAGTGAGAGCAGATAAGAAAGAGCAAAGCCAGAAGTCGCTTTGTAGCGATATAATATATAACAAGAAATTTGATTATAATATATAACAGCAAAAACTAAAAATCCAATAAAACCAGGCCACACATTTAAAATGTTTAGGAATAAGTATTATATTGTACTGTATATTTACAGCTCTTTATTAATGAATTACACTACATAAAGTAGTATCATTAGTAACTATCGTGACCTAATAGTAATTACCGTTGTATACTTTAGCCTTTACTACAGTAAACTATGTATATATACCTCCTCTCTCTCAGTCATCTTTACATCAAGGAAATTTCTTGTTAGCCTAATCAGTTCGCGATGTCACCCACTGGAGCGAGAGGTGGCAGTAACGCATCAAAAAGTTTGTTGTCGACCACCGTAAAACAGCAGTAAAAAAGAAAAAATCGTCATTCTCGACATCATATGGATTTACTTTCATCGGCTAGGCACCGTCCTCCCAGATGCGTGAATGTCAGTGCTGTCACTTATTGATCAGCAATCAGTAAATGTAGCTTGTGTAGATGCTACTGTGCTTTTTGACCAAAAAAAGAAATTTGCTACTGAAAAGGTATTTGATTTAGAAAGTAGCGATGCTACCGCCACGCTACTGGGAAATGTAGTTATGCTATAGCGTCAAAACTTGTAGCGACTGGGGATAAAACTGGTATAATGTATTTTGTACTGTAAAACATTTATTTTATGGCATTACCAAGCCTCTACCCCTAAACCCAACCCTTACAGGAAACTATGGAACATTGTAATTGTTAAACGACCTTGTTAAGTATGATTTTTAAGTGTATTGAATTACAAGGAATTGATACATGTCCTCATAAACCACCTTAATAATGTAATACCTAGGTCATAGCCATGTTGTTATACAAATCTGTGTCCTCATACTTGTATATCTGATTTACGACGACTCTCCATAGGCAAAATGTATTTTGTACTGTAAAAACATTTATTATATGGCATTACCATGCCTCTACCCCTATACTCAACCTTGCATTTTGGCAATTTTATTGTCAAATGACCCTGTTAATAATTTTTACGCATTTTGAATTACGAGGACACAACACATGTCCTTGTAAACCACCTTAAAGTAATACCTAGGTCATACTTATGTCATTATACACATCTGTTACCTCATAAATCACATACACACACACACACACACACACACACACACACACACACACACACACACACACACACACACACACACACGTTTTGTTTTTGTGAAAAGTGGGGACATTACATAGGTTTCCATTCATTTTATTCTGTCCAAACCGTATATTGTATTGCCCTCAACACACCCTACCTCAAAACCCAACCATCACAGGAGACAGTGTGCAGCTTTACTCTTTGATTAAACTCATCCTGTAGGATTTATTTGCATTTTGAGAAATGAGGATGTCACCAATGTCCTCATATTTCACCTCCTTTTTGTAATACCTGTGTCATACCCATGTCATTATACAGATTTGTGTCCTGATACGTCACAAAAACACGTACACAGTTATCTTTATAGGGACTTCCCATAGACATTATGAATTTTGTACTGTACATGCTGTATATTTTATCCCCTACCTTTAAATTCAGCCTTTACATTTTCAAAATACTTAATTCTCTAATATTTTCAAGGTATTTTCCTCATGGGGACCAAAAAATGTCCCCACAAGGTCAGAATTTACTGATATTGCTATACTTATGGGGACATTTGGTATGTACAAGGTACACACACACACATGCAGACACACACACATTCATTCATGGCCCATTTTCTGTGCACTACCCTTAATACCTTATGCAGGATATGGATCATACAGGATCTGCAACTCAGCACAGCATTCCCCAGTGTGTGTGTGTGTGTGTGTATGTGTGTGTGGTTTCTTCAACTGCATGAAGGCTTTTAACCAGGCCCTTTGTATCATGTGGGGTTAGTCCCACCATATTAATGTGAATAATTAATTTTAAAAACTCTCTGTGCCGAAATGTGTTGTGTCATGTAAGTGTGGTTTGTGCAAATGGAATTGTGTGTGCGGGAATGATTTGCAGAGTTAAATAATTCAGCTGGCCTCCACCCTAGCCTTCCAGTGTATCCAGAGGAAGGGATTAAATTAAGATGTTAAAAAGGGTGGGGCTTTTTTTCTTCTCCTTCTTTTGTTTAGCCGATGCCTTTTTTTTTTGTTGGTTCCAGTATTGGTGATGTAGTCTACATAAAACATCTGCAGTAACAATAAAACCAATATAATGCAAAATAGGACTATATCAATGTAAATAGACAAAACATTTATAATAACACATATGTAAAAAGATATATATGTAATAATAAAATAGAAAGAATTGTCAAAAAAAATCAGTCCAAGGCATTTGGACTGATTTTTGTTGTTGTTTTATTGAATC